GATCCATCGGAAAGACGAGCTCACATGGCCTGCTCACATACTCACATGTTCCCCACATGTCTTATCACATGTCTTAGCATTAAACGGTACCAGTTTACTGGCTGTGACATGCCCCTGCAAAAATCAGGCGGGGTGACCATTTTGGTGTCCTTACAGGAATGTGGTTTTTTTCGGCCTAGAACCATGCACAGGGAGACCAACTCTGAAAAGCCACAGGTCAAAATTAGGTTTGCATTCCACTTCATCGAACGCAATGATATTAGTTTTATGTACATGGTATGACTGTGTCATGAAGTTAGGTTGCACTTACGAATTTTGACATTTGATAATGACCTGAATTGTTTTGATTGTTTTGAATTGTGGTAGACAACAGTTTTAACATGCAGCTAATTAACCAAAGGGGATTGTTGTTAATCAAGTTTTTGTTTTCAATAATTCCATTCAAAGGGACTTCTCCATCTGTTGGAATGCCTAATTTTGGCACAGAAAGCCCAACATCCACAGGAAGCATGCCAAACTACCCCCCAAGTAAACTACCTCCTCCATTTGGAATGGGAGGAACACAGATGTCGGGTTCAGGTGTGTCCAGCAGTAGCCTGCCTCCAGCTAGTGCAGGAGGCTCAAACCTTTCCACTTCTGGGTCTGGTGTTGGTGGGACTGCTGCTGCAGCAGCTGCTGCAGCTGTACTTGAGGCAGTCAGTTCTGGATCAAGATATCCCAGCACAGCGCAAGGTCCAGGACCACCATATGGTAACCCTCAAGACATGATGATGAGCAGTAAAGCTTCTGACAACATGTCTGCTTCAAGGATGTCTCCAATGCAGTTAGGGTCTATGCTGGGTCCAAATGTACAAACAGGTGTGCGCCATTCTTATGATTATCTACACAGTTTTTCCAAAACCCTGGGCTTGAATTCCAGCTTGCCCTTCAGACAAACAATTTTCAAATTTTTCTTGCCCCTGGGCAAGTGTTTGTTTAATTTGTGTACTTGAGTTTGCAGACGACTTGCCATGGAGCAAGTTACTTGCCTGGCAGGATAATCTGCCTGTCCTGGATGACCGAACGGCTCTTTTTTTGAGCCTTGAAACTGCGCCAACAGCAGGCACTTTTGCTACCTGTAGTAAATTATCTGGTGCTTACTTCATACTGGAGTTCACTTATTCTGACTAATGACAATTCTTCTCTGGCATTTATTGCCTTCTANTGAGAAGAGCTGATAATTTATTCAATTTGTTCACTGCATGGCCTTCGTTACATTCAAGTTAAAAAACAGCTTACTTCTGGATAATTTCAGCCTTACAAGCCAGCAACTGGTCCCAAATTACTTTCTGTATCCTTAAAGATGTCCTGACATCCATCTCCGAAAGATTTGGCCGCAATTTTTGAGCAAATAAACATTTCGCTGACGGCAATCACCAATACGGTGGCTTGCATACTAGTTCGCTAACTTTACAAAACCCTCCCGAGGGGGGGAAATGACGAAAAGAGCTGGAAAATGATGGCTGGAAATAGGGCAATTTTCTCAGCTTCCGGTATACCAAGAGTGTGCAGCATTGAATTATGATGCATGTTTCTGTGTATTGAGTTTGATAGTGTGACTTTGCTAGCAATGTTATAACACATATTTAACTTAGTGATTCCTTGTGGCACCATTCTACAAGCTATAGCTGTTTCTGGTAGTTGACCCTTAGGTTGGAAATCCTAGTGTTTATTTCATTCCCTCTCCTTACTTTTGTTTCTGTGGTGTTATCAGTTTTAAATTTGTTGCATAATGCTAATCAAAAGTACTGATCCTCTCTACAGGTCGTGTACCATCCCCGACATTGAATGAATTACCAACAGCAGAGGATGTGGAGGCCATGATCGAGTCAATGAGAGCAGGAGAAGCATCGCTTTCGAATGACAATGATGACCAACAGCAGCCACCCTCACAAGGTTCTGCTCCTCCGTCAGTGGCTTCCCTGCCTGCAACAGTGGCATCATCTCCTTCACAGCCACAGGGAACACCTGTAAATGGTGAGGCATGAATGTGAAATTGATACATGAGTATATTCTGTTTTTCCTCGTAGCGTTATCCCCAGCATTAAATTCACCAGTACCCTTTTAGACCCTTGGGTGGGGCAGCTTGAGGGTTAGGTGTCTTGCCCAAGAGCACACCACAATAAATGCAGCCTGGGCATCCAGTGATCTGGAGTGTAGCACAACACACAAACCATTGGGCCACTGCATTTCTCAAACACACAAAGTTCACTTTAAATTATTCATGTCCAGGAAATTTGACACGGAATAAACATCTATTATTCATTAATATTCAATATGCATCGTCACATGCCCTTTTTTTTGTCTTTTGCAGCTCAAAATAGTAGCGCAGATACTCGTGAACTCAACAGCTCAAATCTAGACCTGCCCACCATGGACAAAGAGGGCTCACCACCCTCACCACCTTCATCACCTCTGTCCAACTTCTCTGGTTTATCACCTGGAGTATCTCCATCTGGAGTGTCCATTACATCGTCATTTGGTGACGCAGAAATTGACCTGGATGAAATCAACCCTTCTCTTCCTAACAACCCCATCTCTATGGTAACTAGTGTAAATTACTTGCTCTCATTTATTTGTGTATGTGTAGCTAGTGTATGAAATTTCATTCCCTTTGATCTTGTTACTAAAATTGATTTTGGCATTAGAATGTCCAAAATTAGAAGTTAGCCTTTTCCTCACCTTCGTCTCCTTTTAGCTCAGTCTTTGTCATAAATGGAATGTATTTTTTTCATGTTTACTTTTTTTTAAAAAAAGTTGAAACTCGTCTGAGCATATCATTAATACTTGTTCAAGAATCATCGATAGTGATCTCAAGGGCAAAGTATGAGATTAATTCCTGGAGTGACTTTTCAAACCTAGTGCTATTGCTGTTAATTGTTTCATTGGCTGGACTTATACTAGGGACGATTTATCCATGTGAGACAAATTAGCTGTCTGAGACAAGTTTCATTCTTTTCCCACCTTTTTATTTTATTTACTTCTCCCTAAATTATTTATTTTTACTGTAATCTAATTAATAATTTTAACAGTTGTAATTACATCTTGATAGACTTGTCTGCCTAGACTAGCACTAGATATCTGTGGGCCGGTCGAACTGTAAAAATGTAAATTTAGAACCAGGTGAAGATTGTTGTTGTTTGTTATTCATCTGCCTGAGATGGATAAATTGTGTAGGAATAAATCTGGAGTTTAGATGAATTATGTGGCCAAATTTGTCTTGAACTGATTCGTCTGTCAGCAAGTCTTGGAAGATGTTCTGACAGATGTTCTGACAGACCGGAATTATATCTACACAATGTATCCATCTCGAGGATAAATCGTCTCCTAAGGTAAATTTGGCTTCAGATCATTCATCTCCAGTATAAATTGGCCCTTTTTCCAAAAAAATAAAAAATAAATCCACCATTTGGTGCCAATCTTGTAGTGACAACTTCCTATTTAACTGGTCCGCAACAGGAAAGTGCAAGGAACATATCTGCATTGAAGTTCGATAGTTGACTCCCTCGCAAACTAATACTGCAATTTAAAGGTCCTTATTAATTGTTGTAAGAAGAGACCTCATTATTACCAGTCAGCATCTATCCTATTTATCCATGATTTTCTGTAGCTGAAAGCATGTTCACAGTTAAGGAATATGTTGGAAAATATAACTTTCTTAAAGAGTGTATTTACATATACTATTAGGTCTCGTTAATTTGGCCTTTGTGATCAACTTGTAACCTCTCATAAGCTGTGTATTTGACAATGTCATGATTTCACGCAATGAAATCAGACACTGATCATTTTTGGAGATTAATCCATCTGTTTTGTTTGTTAGTCTTCATATCAGTTTCCATCATCGAGGCAACAACATCAGCAGCAGTATGAGAAGGTAAGCAAGCTCTTAACTCGTAAGTTCCATTAGTGCACCCTTTACTGAGAGTCATGCAAACTACCTTCAGCACGCCTATTCCNGATCCATCGGAAAGACGAGCTCACATGGCCTGCTCACATACTCACATGTTCCCCACATGTCTTATCACATGTCTTAGCATTAAACGGTACCAGTTTACTGGCTGTGACATGCCCCTGCAAAAATCAGGCGGGGTGACCATTTTGGTGTCCTTACAGGAATGTGGTTTTTTTCGGCCTAGAACCATGCACAGGGAGACCAACTCTGAAAAGCCACAGGTCAAAATTAGGTTTGCATTCCACTTCATCGAACGCAATGATATTAGTTTTATGTACATGGTATGACTGTGTCATGAAGTTAGGTTGCACTTACGAATTTTGACATTTGATAATGACCTGAATTGTTTTGATTGTTTTGAATTGTGGTAGACAACAGTTTTAACATGCAGCTAATTAACCAAAGGGGATTGTTGTTAATCAAGTTTTTGTTTTCAATAATTCCATTCAAAGGGACTTCTCCATCTGTTGGAATGCCTAATTTTGGCACAGAAAGCCCAACATCCACAGGAAGCATGCCAAACTACCCCCCAAGTAAACTACCTCCTCCATTTGGAATGGGAGGAACACAGATGTCGGGTTCAGGTGTGTCCAGCAGTAGCCTGCCTCCAGCTAGTGCAGGAGGCTCAAACCTTTCCACTTCTGGGTCTGGTGTTGGTGGGACTGCTGCTGCAGCAGCTGCTGCAGCTGTACTTGAGGCAGTCAGTTCTGGATCAAGATATCCCAGCACAGCGCAAGGTCCAGGACCACCATATGGTAACCCTCAAGACATGATGATGAGCAGTAAAGCTTCTGACAACATGTCTGCTTCAAGGATGTCTCCAATGCAGTTAGGGTCTATGCTGGGTCCAAATGTACAAACAGGTGTGCGCCATTCTTATGATTATCTACACAGTTTTTCCAAAACCCTGGGCTTGAATTCCAGCTTGCCCTTCAGACAAACAATTTTCAAATTTTTCTTGCCCCTGGGCAAGTGTTTGTTTAATTTGTGTACTTGAGTTTGCAGACGACTTGCCATGGAGCAAGTTACTTGCCTGGCAGGATAATCTGCCTGTCCTGGATGACCGAACGGCTCTTTTTTTGAGCCTTGAAACTGCGCCAACAGCAGGCACTTTTGCTACCTGTAGTAAATTATCTGGTGCTTACTTCATACTGGAGTTCACTTATTCTGACTAATGACAATTCTTCTCTGGCATTTATTGCCTTCTACTTCTGTTATCCTGCCTGCTATTACAGAACATTTTGACAGGGCTGGCACATGTGTCATGTATCTGTCACAAGGTTTCCAATAACATCTGGTGACAGGTTATGTGATGGCTCCTTTTTGTGCATTGATTATACATGTATGCTCCCTTTTGTTGATAACAATGAAGAGATTCCAAGTGTTAGTCATATACTTCGCAAAATTTCCCTTCTATTTGAAAATAAACATGTATTAGAGCCTGGACCTTGTAGTGAATGGGTAATGTGCCTGAACATTTTGTTTCACTTTTTTCATAATTTATCATTAACCACGCAGCCATAGGCTGAGCGCAGTTCATGTTCTACCCGTGGTTTATTATTTTTTTTTTTTGTCAGAGACCAGACGCAAACCTCCACTCGGCCAACTTGTAATGTTTACTCGCCAAACCTTGTTTCTTCAGGGTCAACAAAAATCTCAGATTACAAAGTCACGCCGAACTCACGCTTTGCAAAAAAATCTCCTCAAAACCCTGACTTGGAAACGATATATCAGTTTAGCGTTAATAGCTACCTCATATCGGCAGTAGTAAAATCTATTCCTTAACAATCCAGCTTCATCATATTAAAATTTCAACAAAATCGAAAACAAAACCAGAACTAAAATATCATTCGATTTTTTTGTCACCTCGCTTCATTGCTTGAGTCAACAAAGGAAGCGATGGTCACCCATAGCCACTGAAACACACGAACATAACGCGAACCGACGTTTCAGTCAAAAAAAATCCAGGATTATTGCCTGAGAGCTGAAAATTGAAGAGGAGCATCTTTTTCAAACTTTTCTCAGGTTATTTAGGCAAAAAAATCACCTCGGTGGGCTCCAAAAGAGAACGAAACAAAAAAACAGAACGAGACAGTGAGAAGAGCTGATAATTTATTCAATTTGTTCACTGCATGGCCTTCGTTACATTCAAGTTAAAAAACAGCTTACTTCTGGATAATTTCAGCCTTACAAGCCAGCAACTGGTCCCAAATTACTTTCTGTATCCTTAAAGATGTCCTGACATCCATCTCCGAAAGATTTGGCCGCAATTTTTGAGCAAATAAACATTTCGCTGACGGCAATCACCAATACGGTGGCTTGCATACTAGTTCGCTAACTTTACAAAACCCTCCCGAGGGGGGGAAATGACGAAAAGAGCTGGAAAATGATGGCTGGAAATAGGGCAATTTTCTCAGCTTCCGGTATACCAAGAGTGTGCAGCATTGAATTATGATGCATGTTTCTGTGTATTGAGTTTGATAGTGTGACTTTGCTAGCAATGTTATAACACATATTTAACTTAGTGATTCCTTGTGGCACCATTCTACAAGCTATAGCTGTTTCTGGTAGTTGACCCTTAGGTTGGAAATCCTAGTGTTTATTTCATTCCCTCTCCTTACTTTTGTTTCTGTGGTGTTATCAGTTTTAAATTTGTTGCATAATGCTAATCAAAAGTACTGATCCTCTCTACAGGTCGTGTACCATCCCCGACATTGAATGAATTACCAACAGCAGAGGATGTGGAGGCCATGATCGAGTCAATGAGAGCAGGAGAAGCATCGCTTTCGAATGACAATGATGACCAACAGCAGCCACCCTCACAAGGTTCTGCTCCTCCGTCAGTGGCTTCCCTGCCTGCAACAGTGGCATCATCTCCTTCACAGCCACAGGGAACACCTGTAAATGGTGAGGCATGAATGTGAAATTGATACATGAGTATATTCTGTTTTTCCTCGTAGCGTTATCCCCAGCATTAAATTCACCAGTACCCTTTTAGACCCTTGGGTGGGGCAGCTTGAGGGTTAGGTGTCTTGCCCAAGAGCACACCACAATAAATGCAGCCTGGGCATCCAGTGATCTGGAGTGTAGCACAACACACAAACCATTGGGCCACTGCATTTCTCAAACACACAAAGTTCACTTTAAATTATTCATGTCCAGGAAATTTGACACGGAATAAACATCTATTATTCATTAATATTCAATATGCATCGTCACATGCCCTTTTTTTTGTCTTTTGCAGCTCAAAATAGTAGCGCAGATACTCGTGAACTCAACAGCTCAAATCTAGACCTGCCCACCATGGACAAAGAGGGCTCACCACCCTCACCACCTTCATCACCTCTGTCCAACTTCTCTGGTTTATCACCTGGAGTATCTCCATCTGGAGTGTCCATTACATCGTCATTTGGTGACGCAGAAATTGACCTGGATGAAATCAACCCTTCTCTTCCTAACAACCCCATCTCTATGGTAACTAGTGTAAATTACTTGCTCTCATTTATTTGTGTATGTGTAGCTAGTGTATGAAATTTCATTCCCTTTGATCTTGTTACTAAAATTGATTTTGGCATTAGAATGTCCAAAATTAGAAGTTAGCCTTTTCCTCACCTTCGTCTCCTTTTAGCTCAGTCTTTGTCATAAATGGAATGTATTTTTTTCATGTTTACTTTTTTTTAAAAAAAGTTGAAACTCGTCTGAGCATATCATTAATACTTGTTCAAGAATCATCGATAGTGATCTCAAGGGCAAAGTATGAGATTAATTCCTGGAGTGACTTTTCAAACCTAGTGCTATTGCTGTTAATTGTTTCATTGGCTGGACTTATACTAGGGACGATTTATCCATGTGAGACAAATTAGCTGTCTGAGACAAGTTTCATTCTTTTCCCACCTTTTTATTTTATTTACTTCTCCCTAAATTATTTATTTTTACTGTAATCTAATTAATAATTTTAACAGTTGTAATTACATCTTGATAGACTTGTCTGCCTAGACTAGCACTAGATATCTGTGGGCCGGTCGAACTGTAAAAATGTAAATTTAGAACCAGGTGAAGATTGTTGTTGTTTGTTATTCATCTGCCTGAGATGGATAAATTGTGTAGGAATAAATCTGGAGTTTAGATGAATTATGTGGCCAAATTTGTCTTGAACTGATTCGTCTGTCAGCAAGTCTTGGAAGATGTTCTGACAGATGTTCTGACAGACCGGAATTATATCTACACAATGTATCCATCTCGAGGATAAATCGTCTCCTAAGGTAAATTTGGCTTCAGATCATTCATCTCCAGTATAAATTGGCCCTTTTTCCAAAAAAATAAAAAATAAATCCACCATTTGGTGCCAATCTTGTAGTGACAACTTCCTATTTAACTGGTCCGCAACAGGAAAGTGCAAGGAACATATCTGCATTGAAGTTCGATAGTTGACTCCCTCGCAAACTAATACTGCAATTTAAAGGTCCTTATTAATTGTTGTAAGAAGAGACCTCATTATTACCAGTCAGCATCTATCCTATTTATCCATGATTTTCTGTAGCTGAAAGCATGTTCACAGTTAAGGAATATGTTGGAAAATATAACTTTCTTAAAGAGTGTATTTACATATACTATTAGGTCTCGTTAATTTGGCCTTTGTGATCAACTTGTAACCTCTCATAAGCTGTGTATTTGACAATGTCATGATTTCACGCAATGAAATCAGACACTGATCATTTTTGGAGATTAATCCATCTGTTTTGTTTGTTAGTCTTCATATCAGTTTCCATCATCGAGGCAACAACATCAGCAGCAGTATGAGAAGGTAAGCAAGCTCTTAACTCGTAAGTTCCATTAGTGCACCCTTTACTGAGAGTCATGCAAACTACCTTCAGCACGCCTATTCCTCACCCCCCACTCCTCCCCCACCCCAACCAAATCCCGGAAGTCAAGGAAGAGAATTAATAGTAATTATAACAGTCAGTTATAACCTCCTTGCATACGGTGGCTGTGCCCGCAGTACGAGCAGCATGCAAAAGTGAGCTGTCCTACTGGAGTGACATGATAAGAGTCTTTTTCTTTGTAGCTAATAAAAATAAAGACAATGCTTAAATTTCTTTGGCATCTTCTAATACTGGGTTTAATGAGACAAGGAGCAGCATGTTTTGTCCAAAATGATAAAACTGTTATCCTACATGGTCACACCCGACGAGCAACGAGGGGGCTGCCTGACACGGGTGACCCAATTTCAGCTCGATTCGGCACCAAATTGAAAGGTTGGAGACATAAAATGTTTCCTATTTTTCGCTTTTCATAATCTGTTATGGTTGTTGTAATGGTAAATGCCTTTCCGTAAATATTCAATGCTGTCTCCATCGACAAGAGCTGCCAGACCTCAATGCCTTTCCTTTGGACAAAAATTGATGTCAGGACAGTACAGGTTTTCCCGCCTTCTGAATCATGATTGGTCAATTCAAACTTCAGGCACAACAGCCGTATGCAAGGCTTTGTTAAGCAAACAACGGCTATGTCGTGGCACAGTTGTTACTTTTTCTCTTGGCTGTGTGGCATTTATACATCTACATATATAAGAACTCAAAAGTACTCCATTACCTGGTTACTGTGAGTGTTTTGTTGCTTCATTAACCACCATACTTGTATAATTTTGTAAAACTCTTTCAGTTCTCCAAGTTATATGAACTTTCTGATGAACCAGAGCGGAAGGAATTTCTTAATAAATATCAAGCTTTCATGGGTAGTCAAGGTAATGTATATCGAAAACCCTCTATAACACCTCAGCATTGCCTTTACAGAGAGTTTCCATAGTCGCTTTACCTGATATTGATTTGTTGCTTTTTTGTCTTAAAAGGCACACAGATCACCCAAGTTCCAGTTGTGATGAGACAGCCGTTAGATCTGTTTAAGTTTTTCACTGTAGTCAGGGAAAGAGGTGGCTTACAGGAGGTGAGTCTCATAAAACAGCTACTGATGGCTAAAAATTGAAGTCAGTTTTAGTGATGATGAAGTTTGTCACTTAGTCTAAGCAACCAGGGGTTTGATTAAGGGCCAGGCAAATTGAATGGCTGTGCAGACGATTTTTCCCGCCTGGTTTGACCATCTAGAAGAAAGTTTTTCTTGTAAAGATGTTCAGTTCAAAAAATTTTGCCCCCCTGTTGAAACCTTTAATGACACCTCTGAGCCACTGTTTTAACATTGGCTGTGCTGTGTCACAGTGGTCTAGTGATTAAAGCGTCATAATGGCTCGGGCCGAAAACTCTGCTCTCTTGCTTTACATTTAGGCAAGTGAACTCCACAGTGCTTTGCTCCACCCAAGTGTATCAGGCGAACGGCCAAAAAAAATTATAAAAATAGAAATTCTCCGATTGACTAGCGTCCCACCCCACATTAGCCTTTGGCAATTTGTCCGTATCTAAGAGAAAAAGTGTAGCTTCTGTTTTCAGTTTTCTTTTGATTTTGGCCTTTGGGGTTTTCTAAAGTAATGTGCTTGACTTAGCAGTTGACTTAAGATTCATTAACCAGGTTTTATTCGAATTCACTGCTACTAAATAGTCCAATCAAACTGTAAAACTCACCGCAATTGTGGGTCTTTATGCTCCAAAAAGATTTTCCTCATATGACGAAATTACCTTCAATAACAAGGCGAACGGAGGAGAGTAGCATGTATCTTCAAGTCTCGCTTTTTTGTTTAATGTCGTTTTACTGGAGTTGTTACCTGCAAACATTGTGGTAACATTCATTTTGTAAAATAGTATGTTGAGGCTCATATGTCTTGTTGTTTGCTCTAGGTCGTCCGCAGAAAACTATGGCAGGATGTTTTGGAGGCTTTGAACCTACCCACAGATCAACCAAGTGTTGTGAATGTCCTTCGCAATCAGTATTCCAGATATCTGTTGTCATATGAGATGAAATTCAGCAAGAGTAATTCTATGGACGACATGAAGATCAATCTTCTCGAAGGTTCAGGCATTCCGCCTCCAAATGCGACCGTGACTTGTTCAGAAGCGATAATACCCACAAGCAGTCTAACTCAGAGTCACAGACCGGCCGAGACTACCTCTATTCATGGCTCCTATAGCTCCATGACAAACGAATCTTCCGCTAACCTGCCCCCGAGTTATAACATGAAAGACGGGTACCCGGAACCTAGTTTGGACACTGGTAAAATGTTTCCAGATCTTAGAGACAATCATGGGAATTATCAAGTGAATCCCCCTGCCTCGTCCAGTCCATTTGGAATGCCTCAGTACCCATACAGTGGGGAAAGAAGAAACAGTTTTCCTAATCATCCCCAGGGAGGACTCCCTTCGTACATGATGTCCCAGCGTAACATGTATCAGGGTCCATCGTCGTTGTCACAGTTCTTTCAGCAGTCGAACACACAAGCAGGACATCCAGGAGCTAACTATCAACATTCACAGTACCCGCAGCGTGCAAGCCCATCATTGATGGGGCCTCTCTCGTCACCTCACTCCATGATGCCCAGTGCAAGTTCCCAAGAAAAGATGCACCCATTGTGGGGTTCTCAGTATAGCCCGTCAACAGAGCCCGAGCACATGGTGGACTATCCCCCTGGGGCCCACAGTGGTAGAGTCGCACGTCCGTCCAGTGGCCCTCCTCCCCAGTTCTCGCCGGCACCACCGTATGGCTCGTACCCAGGCCGCCAACAGAGCCAGTATTCTCCTGCTACTCCGCCGTATCGCCCCAGTCCTTCACCATCTCCATCGAGACAATCATTAGCGCAGGCACCACATCAAGCAGCACAGAAAATGAAGTATCCGTCCCAAGCGCCTTCACAACCTTCACAGCAGCAGCAGCAGCAGCAACAACAGCAACTGCAACAGCAAGCTCATGGCACATCTGTCAAGAGAGACATGCCATTTCCAAACGACTGTATTGAGACTACAAGACCCGTGTTTACTAAGAAGCGTAAGCTCACGTCTCGAGATTTGGGTATGTTGGATTGTCAGTATTACATTTGTGTTTTGATCAGTTTCAACAGCGAAGAAAAACAAAACAAACGTGGGTTCCTTAAGCCTGGTTATAGCTGACGATGCAAATAGAGCGGTTTTCACCTGAGTGTCGAAGAGTAATTGGTTTGCATTTACTACGCTACACGATTGGCTCAGAAACCCACGCCACTTTTTCATCCAATCAGAAGTGAAACCAAAAACCAATCAAGACTCGCTCGCACACATTTTCCCGCGCTTTGTGTCAGCCACAAGTGTTTGCTTCGAGTTTTGATTGGTTCATTGAATTTTCTGTGTCATTTGTGATTGGCTAGGGTGATAACTTTGGTTTTGGTTTCACGACACTCTATTGAAAACGGCTCTATGTGTGCAAACACATGAGTCAACACAAGACATCGAGAAATGAAAGCATAAGGATCCTGTGTTTTATCCTTTGTCGCAGACATTTTTCGCGTTTCCAGCTAGACTTGAGGTCAAGTCTGAGGTTTCTTGTTCTTGTTGGGTACACTTGCATCACCAGTGAAACATAGGCTTCATTTTAAATATTCTCTGTTTGCCGTTCTGTTTCGAGTTCTTAAATTCTCTCTGATTCCTGTAGACCTACATCATCCGTCGGAAACTTCTTAGTTGAATCTCGGACGTACAGTGTATCTCGAGCTAGGAAAGAGTAGAGATGGTTATAAATAATGCTTATAATCGTTCTTAACATTCCTATGTTATTTCCTAGGCCCTGTGGAAGCATGGCGAGTAATGATGTCACTGAAATCTGGCTTGTTATCAGAGGCGACCTGGGCTCTAGATACCCTTAACATTCTGCTGTATGACGACAACACGGTCGCGTACTTCATGTTAGCCCAACTGCCAGGTCTTCTTGATAACCTTATCGATCACTTCCGCCGCTATCTGATTGACATTTTTGACACGTTCGCCGAAAGCGAAATCAGTGTCGGCGCGGTGTTCCTGAAGCAAAACGAGGTTACAGCGTCCCTCGAAAACAAAGAGAAAGAAGACGACGAGGAGGTTGAAAAGATCAACAGAGATGCGAGAAACAGTTTCAGTGCCTTCTTGGTTAGCACGACGTTTGAGTTTCTAAAGGACGGATTTCAAAGTGGCTCGAGCGATTGGCTAATGGGCGGTGGAGACACTACTCGGCATATTCAGACGCATCTTGGCTGGATGCCGAGAGCAGAAAACTCCAACACGACAAGTTACGAGGGAAGAGAAAGTCATGTCAAGGAAACTGACACTCTGGTGGAAATTGGGAACTGCAAAGGCAAGCTGAAAATTGAGAGTGAAAAAACACAGCTGTCTGGACTTAGCCAGGGGAAATCGGCAGCTCAATGCAAGGATGTGCGTTGTTCAACCGAAAAGAAATGTGGCACGAATTGTACAAAACTTAAAAATGACTCATCTTGTCCTACTATGTCGGGGAAAGGTGAGTCTAAAGATGACATTGCTGTTAAAAACGAACAGAAACCCGAGGAGAAATTAAAAAGTCAAGAAAACGATAAGTGCGACAAAGAAAGCGAAGAAGAACAGTTTACTTCGCGGTTAAAAAAGGAACTTGATTTGGACCTGGACTCAGGCAGTAGAGATTCTGACATTGAAGACTCTGATGCCTATATTCGGTCAGTTGTTACTAAAATAAACGTGAAACAGGAACCAATTATCGAGGAGCAAGCGTGCGGGAAGGAAGACGCACCTTTGTGCTTAAGAACGGAGAGCCAAGATGCCGTTTCGCGGCGTTGTCTTTGCGTGTCGAACATTCTTCGAGGACTTTCCTTTGTCCCGGGAAACGACGCAGAGATGTCACGGCACGCTGGCATGCTCATGATTGTCGGTAGGTTGTTACTGCTCCATCATAAACACGCCAAGCGAGTCCCTTATCGGCATTCGTATCTTCAGGATGAAATCGAAGTGGAGTGTCCGAGCGATGACCGGCACGACTGGTGGTGGTATTGCCTGGAAGGTCTGCGTGAGAACGCCTTGGTGATAACAGCTAATGTGGCAGGTCAGCTTGATCTTGCCCTGTACCCTGAGGCTATCAGTCTGCCTTTGTTGGACGGCTTGCTTCACTGGTTCGTGTGTCCGTCGGCGGCTGCTCAAGATCCTCTGCCGACAGCTACTCCAGGGACCTCTCTGTCCCCGAGACAGCTGGTGTTAGAGGCTCTAGCAAAGATGAGCATCTTAGAGTCGAACGTCGACATGATTCTTAACACGCCACCGTTACCGCGAGTAGACGAGTTGTACACCATGCTGGTTCGCCTAGTCGGGGAGAGAGGTAATCCAGTAACTCGCGAACTTGCCCTCGTTCTTCTGTCCAACCTTGCACAAGGAGAGAATTCCTTCGTTGGTTTCGGCGACAGCAAGGCTTGTATTTCGATGCTATTAGAATTTATCGAGGACGCGGCCTCTAGCATGAGTGCATATTCATCGGGCAGCGGGCTGGCGCAGGCCGGCTTTCATTCGGAGAGTTTCTGCGGAACAAGTGTGGACATGTTACGCCGCGCTGCCTCCACGCTGGTGTGCTTGGCTCGTATTCGTTCGAATCGTGCGCTGTTCTTGCCTTTTCAAGAACGAATCTTAAGGCTGGCAGTTCTTCGGATCCTGGACAGTATGATCGCCAATCATCTGGCCGAGATTCTTTTCTATTTATCCAGGTGAAACACTGCCGCATGCACCCCCGTGCATTTGATCAGCGGCTCTACTCCTTTATGTTACGTGACGGTGAAAGAAATTCTAAGCAATTAGAAAAAAAAAATTGTTCTCCAAGAGCAGATCCCTAATTTTTTTTGTCTGTTTTGTATATGGAGTCGTGGCCAAGCCATAATAGGAGTTGATTTGGTTTTTTGTGTCTATAATTAACTTTGTTGTCCGCCTGACTGGGCGAGAATGCGCTCCTTACTTGATAATGTGGGTTTGTTGTTCCACTGGTTTCCTGTCGCCTATCCGTTTCATATTGGCAAATGAGCATTCTCATCCAAATAAAACTGGGATTATTTACGTGTAGTGTTTATGATATTCCCCTCAGGCAAAATCTCTTTGAGGCGAACCTCGAGGACTTTAAACTAAAAGACTTTGGTTATGAATAGTTTCACTTCAAACAATGTTCTCGTACTTTTCATCGTAAGGCCAACTTTCATCATTATCATCGTGCAACAACAGGGTAATCAGTGGCTCAGGAGTGCAATACGGATAGACATCAGCTCTGACAAGTTATTACCAGTTTACTAACCGTTGTATAATATGTAAAGTTAAGTGCGTCCCCAATATAAGTATTTCTGGAAAAAGAGCTTTTTGTAGATTTGACAAAACAAAGCATGGAAGCTTAATTTTACAATTTTTTGCTACTCTTGTAGAGATAATTAAACAGAGGCCTGGTATTGTTTGATATGAAAAATTACGTGTAAAAAAAGCGCCTCATAACATAAGTGTGTAATAAAGTGTTAAGTTAGCTAGAATATATGTTGAAAGGAGATATTAAATAGCAGTTTTTCACAGCTTTTGATGTTCTTCTAGCGATGTAAGTTGCTGCTGTTCCAATGAAAGTTAACAGGGCCTATTACAGTGGAACCTCAGGTAGCGACCACCTCTCCTCAGGGACCAATTTTGACGGGTCCGTAAATGATCCCGGACCGGAAATGATCCCCATATGGGACCGCAAATGATCCCGACAAGAAGTATGCAATGGCAGATTTCTATCAGAGGAAGGTGAAAACAGAGAAATCTCACAAAAAATAATTGTTTTGTCATTTAAAGAGAAATATTCCAGACTTGCTTTTTTTGTTTTCGAAGGCCATTGACTGAGAGAAACACTTAAGTGTGGATGTCTCTAAAAATCAAAGAAAAATAAAAAAATCGCGGACATGATCAAAAATTCGTTTCG